AGTTTGTTTTGGTGTAAAAACTCTTGAAATTTCTCCATATGTGTTCTTCAAAAAGTTCATGGAAGATGTGTATTATGAAAAAACTATGCATGGAGTTTAAAATTTTTTGCATCTAAATAAACTCATTTTCAATTCCATGAATTTTTAAGTGCCCTCATTAAGTATTGAGGCAGAGTCTTGAAAGAGACTTGTAAAGACTGCAGCTCTGGATGGAGCTGGAATCTATTCACAAAAGCTTTGCCAATTGAATCAGATGATCCCATAATCCTATATACAGGCTGGCTTCTGTAGCCTGGTAGTAAAATGTGGTCACAAACAGTTAGTTAATAGGGGAACTATAACCTTGGCCCACGTGATTGAGGATAAAATTAAAGAGTTTGAAAAACAGATAGTAGAAGTGGGTGGGTGACTGGGGAGACATGTGGACGGAATATAACCTTTTGTGTCTCTATAAAAACGCTAAATCCATGAAGGTGCAGGGTTGAGAATCAGTCCATAAATAACAAGGTGGCCAAAATGGATCCACCTCAGTCCTCCCAAGAGCAGGGGGAATAGATTTAAATGCCCTCTGTGGCCTCTTCTGCTGTGAATCTGGCACTTTCTTTCCTGGTCCAGGCTGTCCTCATGGTTCTTTTTGCATCCTCCAGTTCTGCCACTGTGGTGCCCTACCCTGGAGTGGGCCCACCCTGCTAACCAGAGGCACAATTCAGATGGGAGGGGCTCCATAATTGTGCATCGAGTCTGTGCTCTAGGAGATGTGCAAGGGGCTCCAGCATTTATTCTCTCCTGTAAGTAAAAGTCATCCCATCCCTTTTCTATTCATCCCCAGGAGGATTCAGGGAAAGAAGGGCCTGAAACCCATTTGGCATCGGCTGCCTGCCTGTTAGCAGCTGCAACCCAGGGCTGTTGGCCTCTGGGAGGCCTTTTTGGAGAAATTGTTCACCTGAGCAGGAGTTTCTTTTTTTGTCAGATCCTGGCCGTGGTTTGCTGGTGACTTTTCTAGATAAATTCAGCAGACGGAGGCTCACGTGGTGCACTGATTGTCAGAGGGAGTCAGATCCAAATCTCTTTTGTTAGTTCTTCCATGCATTCCTTTGCTTTCTGCCCATCCACAGCAGCAGGAACTGAAGGCACCAAGCTCAGGGTCAAGGAGATTTTCCAACATTTCTGACTTAGAGAAATGTGGAAGAGCCCTCCTCTACACAAAGCAACAACAACAACAACAACAACAAATACCTACTTTGCACCCATGACTCAGAAAGAAAACTACAAAATCAAAATTAATAAATGTTTACCTGAATGTCTACAGAGCGTGATAGTCAACTCAGAAGCAGCTCAACTCTTCCTTACAAGTAAATGTGTTGAGTGTGGGAAGTGGCTGTATTTGAATGTCTTTGATGTGATTGTAGGATGCAGCCTCTAAAATCAGCTTGACCATAGCCTAGGCAAGCTCTGCCGTGTTCTCTTGAGCTTTGGGAGGGCTCCAGCCACACCAGTGCCTGAGAAGTTCACTGGGTCTTCTGCGGGTTCTGCTGGGCTTGCTTTCTGAACACTGGGTGGCAGCCAGGAGCTACCTTACGCCTCTTTCAGAAGCTGGATGCAAACCTGAGCAATTCCACCTTAAGAAGAGTCATGCACAGAACCATGCAAAAAGTGCAGTAATTCTTGGACGTGGCTAATCTCTATAATTCACCTGATTGCAGATACAAGTGACAGCTGCAATAGGGGTGATGTTCTCTCATTCGCTGTGTCACTGCGATGCTATTTCAAATCTTTCTGAGATTAGAAAAAGGATTACAATTGCCCCCAGGGGCTTGCTGTGTAATTTTTATCAGTCTTGATCTGTGAGTTTCCCCGGGCAGCGCATGTGCCTGTGTGTGTGTGCACACAAATGTGATGGACAGGCCCATGTTGGGATGTGAGGCTCTTGTGCGTTGCATGGCCATGCATTTGCCCTTGAGACTGTATCTTCAGGTTTGTCCGTAGCCCCCTGACTCTTGGCTTCTCAACATTTGTCCATTTCCTTGGAGCTCGTGGACCAGCACCAGCTTTGTGACCATATGGTCGGTACAGTTGTACAAGGCCTTGGCACTAAGAAGGTCCCTGGCTTCAGCTTTATGCTCTGTTGTCACTGTCTTGAAATTCTTAATAATTTTTGAACAAGAGATACCATACTTTCTGTTTGTATTAGGTTCCATACATTGTGTAACAGATCCCATGGGAGAGACAGGAGGTCAGAAGTAAACTCCTCTCTAAGACTTGGCCCAGCTTTTTTCTCAGCCTGATTCCTGAGACTGGCCTGACTTAGACATGAGAATGTGAGGGTGGTCTTTTGTTCAGACGTACTTGGGAACAGAAGCATGCTGTGACCCTCTGCAAGGCTTCCTCACTTGTTCGAGGAGTACGATTGTCCTCACCTCATGTGGCACGTGAGTATTACATGTTGGAGACGTGCAAAGTGCATTCAGTAATCATTACTTGCCTTCCTTCTCAGTCCCCATCACTCCTGGAAGTCAGTGTTGTTGGCCATGTGGTCACTGAAGTCAAAGCTTTGTTTTCTTTACAACGGGACAGGTTTAAGATGAATGTCCAGCCAACAGCCCAACTTCCTGTGAGTGCAAAGCAGGGCAGGTCTCTGTTCTGAGCAGGAGAGCTGCATGGCCAAGCCACGGTTATGATTTCTGCACAGCGAGAAACCTGCCTTTACGGAGCCACCTACTGTCTGGGGACTCTCTAAAGAGAGCTTCTGATGGAAATGCCACCTTCAAGGAATTTCCTTCATGCTAATTAGCTTAATATGTTGTACATTTATGGTGCCTTTTTCCTCTAAGGATCTGTGGACCCTTGGCAAACAATCATTGATTATGTCCGCCCAGTGTGATGACAGAGACTGCAGCTGACACACTTGTCTGTCTGCCAGCATGGGGCTGTAAGGCCCTGAGACCCAGGTCTGCCTCTGCTCGGGACTCCTATGTGGTCTCCAACTTCTTTTCTGGACCTCCCTTACTTCACACATCAATTGAAGGCTATGGAAACTATTGCTATGAATAAATCCTCTGAAGGTGAAATAGCCCCCAAATGGAAATACTCTTCTAAAAGTCGAAATAACTTCACAATGCAAAGGACTGTAATATTAAATTTTGGGAAAGTGAAATTCAAGTTCAAAATTCAGTGCTGTACCTAACAGCATTGAAATTTCCTGTTGCTGAGACTGAGGTTGGATGGCCAAGAGGCTAATGGAAAATTCCTTCGAACACTGACATGTTAATTGGCTTTATAATAAAGTTCTGCAAACAGTGCATTTACCCACAGCTGACAAAATACTACAGAGATCCCAGAGGCTTAATAAACATTCTCGCGGGGACTTCTTAGAACATCTGCAAGTCCAAGTGACTATGTCAGAGTGATTCTCTCATCCTCTGAATTGTATCTTTCAGCATCTATCATACTCATGATGCGTTGAGGTCAGGCCAACTTGGGTCACCACTGGTGACTTGAACCATGGCCCTGTCTTCTCATCTTGACAGCAAGCTCCTTGAAGGGGAGTGGGGGGTGAAGTCAATGTCTGCCACCACGTGCAGAGCACAGTGCTTTACAGCAGAAGGTCCTCGGTCAGGACTGCCGGGACTAGGGAGTATGGGTGAGTGAGACTGCAGCTTCTGATTTTGCAGGATCCGTGAGGTGCTTGGGAGTTGGGTCAGGAAAAACCCCATGGTAGTGCCTTGGTGTGGTCTGAGTTAACATCTCCCACCCAAGAGCATTTTTCCTGTACTAGGCTGATGTTAAGTTACCCTTTAATCTATGGGATTTCTTAACAAATGCAGATGTGATTTAATTAGACTTACAATTTTTAAAAATAATTTATTTGAGAGAGAAAGGGGGAAGAGAGTGAGAGAGAGAGAAAAGAGAGGGGGAGAGATGGCAGAGAGAGAAAGTGATACACAGAGGAGAGAGGGGGAGAGGTAGAGAGAGAGGAGACAGAAAGACACACACACACACACACACACACAGAGCGAGCGAGCTTGCTAGCTCTCATCTGCTGGCTCACTCCCCAAATGCCCACACTGACCCAGCCTGGGAACAGAAGCATAGATCTGGGTAGGGATTCAATTCAGGTCTCCCTTGTGGCCAGCAGGAACACAAACATTGCAGCCAGCCCTGCTGCCATCCAGGGTCTGCATTAGCAGGAAGCTGCAAGGCGGGAGCAGAGCCAGCGTCTAACCCAGGCACTCCTGCGTGGAACAGGAGTGTCCTGACTGTTAGGCCAGATGCCTGACCCTGATTAGTCTAATGAAGGATTTTTGGTGACTTGTGTAGGAAAGTTTATTAAATTATACCCAAGATCTTTCAAAAAAGCCAAAGTGCTATTATCCTATTAAAATCCAGAAAGATTTTCAACACCAAGTATTTTCAGAGTACTGGGAAAATAGGGAGTTAGTTATGGAGTAGCTGGAACTTTTCACTATTAACACAAATTACAAATATGAACTGAGACTCTTTTGTCTTTGAAGTCATCGTGCTGTATGTATCTGTATGACTTTCCATTTCTATGTCTTGTACCTCTATGTTCCTTAATATTTTTGAGCCTAGCTCAGCACCCAGCTTGTACTGCAGGGTGTCCATAGCCCTTCCTACAGATTCCATTCTGGGCATGAAACTGAAGTTGTATATTACTGATCATTAAAGACTGATACTATCTCCCATTTAATGGAAGGGGAAAGCTCTTTATAATATTGATTAAGAGAGGAATTTACTATGCAACTTGTAAGCTAAAGGAAAATAGACCTCAAGCCCTCTGTCCCGTACTAATCAGTCTATTACAATAACTGAGGCCACAGTCTTCTGGTTTTTAGGTTGACTTCTAAGAGACAGGCATGGAGTCTCATGGTATTAAATGGCCTGTATGGGAAAAGGCTGGTTTCTTGAAGCCCCAAATCATGATTCCCTGGCAGTATTCTAATCCCCTCCCTCTTCACCTGAACCATCTTCCTTCCTGGCAGGAGGATGCTGACCTTGACCTGTCCCCCGGCTCTCAAGCTCTGCCAGCGATGGAGCTGACTATGTCACTGAGAACTTCCACAGGGGAGGAGGAGAAAGAACAAGGGATCTTTATTTTTGGCTGAAGTTTTCCTGAAAACTATAAAGCTAATGGTCCCTGGAAACGGCTTGACTTCACTTCCAAGTTTTGAATCATCTGCTTCTGGTGGTCAGAAGGAGCCCCCGTAAGTCGTTTAGTCCCTTCCTGCATCTCCGAGTCGTATTATACACGAGTGTAAAAAGTACCAGGAAGGTGGAGCAATAACAACGCCCTCGCTTGGCAGAATTTTAGTGTTTACCAAGCCTTCTACATACATCATTTCATTTACTGCTTTGCCCAAATACTTCACATTCTCTCTCTCTCTCTCCATTTTACAAAGCACACCGAAGGTCAGAGAGGTCGTAGCCTGCTGAAAGCCACACTGCTTCTAAGTGCCAGGGCCTGGGCCTGATCAAACATCCCTTGTGCGGCCTCACTGCGCTCAGCTGTCTGTTGCTGGCTTAGGTGTCTCCCAGGCAAGAAGTTTCTGCCACAGCCTCCAGAAATGCCCAATATCCATCCCTGCTTCCATACACAACCCGGTGGTGTTTGTTCTCTTCTGACCTAAGGCACACAAGTTCCCATTCTCTAAATAATAATCTTAGCCTAAAGTTTGTAGGACTTGTTGTTCTACTCCTGTGTTCTCCAAGATTCCCTAGGTTTTCCCCTCTCCATCAGTTCTCCCAGAGGGTAGTCCCTGAACTGATCCGCTGTTCTCACCTGTCTCACAGGGATGTTGGGAGGACTGACTCAGAAAACACATAGCAAGTGCACGTGTGGGATGCACAGGTCAGTATACTTTCCCCCCTGTCTACCTCTCCTATACCTTCGCCTCTGAATTCTTGGTTGTCCTTGCAAATCCCTGGAGGGAGGGCATGTGCCTCATTTATGGTCACAAATTAGTAGCTTGGCATTTTCCTAAGGGAAAATGCTCTCCTTTCCGCAAACTTCCAAAAAGAAACCATGGACAGAATCCTTGAAGCTCTGAGGGAGCAACAGAGGCTACTGGTCTCTGCTGACTCAGTACCTTTTGTTCTTGTTTATCCATGGGCACCAATTACTGGCCTAAAACATGGCCAGGAGGTGCCACCCACCCGTATTTGATTTATTAGTTGTATTAAATACAGATACCTTTACTGCGGAGTTGCTTGTAGCCTGAGCTGAATTTTTAGCTACTTGATCACATCTATTGGCCAATGTAGGAATTATCTTCAAAGGACACGGCTTTTGCTTTTTATCACACTTTTTCTCCTGCTACCAAGGAGGAGGTCACTTGGGAGACACATCCTTTCATGGCAAGAAAGTAACCTCGTAGATCAAACGTCTGTTTGTTCTGGAATGGCAAAGTGGCCAGGCCTGGAGGAAGGGCCAGCATTACTCAGAATCCTCATCAGTCACTCACCAAGATGGGACCCTTGGGTAAAGGTGTTCCAGGGAGATGAGTCTAGGGAATGGTGCTAGTGGAGAGAGGGAGTGCAGTGCAGGGGGTGCACTGGCCCTGGGGCCAAGGCTGGGTTCCAAGTCCTGTGTGTGCAACATGCTAGTTTTTTACTTCAGAGGCAAATTACGCAATCTGTGAGTCTTACTTACTTTATCTCTAAAATGGGGTGGATACTAGCTTCCTCCCAATGCATCTTTACAGGCATTGATGGGATTATCAACCAGTGGAGTTCTCTTCCCCTTCTGTTGCTAATTACAGGCTCAGCTGAGAGACTTAACCTTGACAATTGATGTTGGTGGAGCAGATCTTGCCGGGAGTCTTTGTTTTACAGCAGTTAGATGTTTGTGTTGTGCCCAGTCCTTAAAAAGATGAGAGATTAAAAAAAATCCTTTACTACAACTTGGGTTAATATTCAATATTTAATTTTATTCTTCCATCTTGCTCTATTACTTTTTTAAAAAAATGTTATTTATTTGAGAGGTAGAGTTATAGACAGAGAGAGGGAGAGACAGAGAAAGGTCCTCCACCTGCTGGTTCACTCCCCAGATGGCCACAAGGGCCGAAGCCAGGAGCCAGGAGCTTCTTCCAGGTCTCCCACGGGGGTGTCAGGGACCCAGCTACCGAAGCCGTACCTGCTCCTGGGAAGTCCCAAGGTCTGTGCTAGAGGAAGGAGGAATCAGGAACCAGAGCGGGGACTCAAACCCAAGCACCAACATTGTCCTGTTTCCACTCACAGGGCAGGTGGTCAGAAAAACGTTTTTGAGATAAAGTTAAATGGACCTGTTTTTGTACCTCTGTGATTATTTTGTTTAGTTTCTATCTGTCCAAGGATCCTAAGTGTTTTGGCAGCTTTTGATTTCCAGGCAATAGCTTCGTATTTTGGAAAAAAACAAAAACAAAAACAAAAACAAAAAAACCTTGAGTGAGAAATCAATGAGTGGGCTTGAGTTCTGACTCTGTGTGAACTTGGGAGGTATTTAACCTCTCTTGGCCTCAGTTTCCTTACCCATAAAATGGGGATGATAATAATGGTATGTATGTTACAGGGTTGTGGTGCAGATCAAAGCCTTAGAATAGTGCCTGGTCACAGTGAGTGCTGCCCGTGTTTGTTGCTGTTACTACTGCTGCTGCTCTTTCTCACTAGTTGTATGATGGGCAGGGCTGGTTGGGCAAGGCTAAACTCTTTCAGCTGTGATGTTGTGTGACTTGGGCCAGTCCAGAGGGAATAAGTAGGAGCAAGGGATGGGAGAGCAAGACAGGCAAGGCAGGCAGCACTTGTATGCGAGTGGTCTGAGGCTGCCGGGCTCTGAGGCAGGCACAAGTGAGTTAATGGCAGTGCCGTCACCAAGGGGTTAAATCCCAGGTGACAGCGTTTGTCCAGGTGGTTGCTTTTCCTTTGTGCTGAAGCCTGGAGATTGGGTCTTGAGATACTTTCAGCAGATCAGCTCTTCTGCCTTACAGAGATCTAAACTTATAAACACCAGAAAAAAGATCTCAACCCCCTGAACCTGGCAATAAACTTCCAGGATGAGCCACAAAGTAGGAGCTCTTTTCCCAGGAATGTGCCAGAGAGTGGCTAGAAATAGTCAGCTTTTGTCATGCCAGGCAGCCTTCTACCTAGAGGGGGATGGGAGCTGACACCCAGATGGGGCAGAGCTGTCATTTCTGGCCGCTGGCACTTTCTGTCATCAAATACTTCGTACTTCAGTAAATCTGGTGCCTCAGGACTGGGGGCGGGGCAGGTGGGGTTCACAAAGCCTCTTGCTTGGAGCAGCAGCTGTATCTTGGGGATAGATGTGCCCTCCTAGGAAGAGCTGAACTTGACACCTACCTATCTGGGAGCCTTGGAATGCGGCCCCAGGAGAAACACCTACCAAAGCAGCAGCATTTATGACTTCTGTGGGGTGGGGTGGGAGGCTGAGGGTAGGAATGGGGTAATTTATTGCTGCCAAAGGAATGTTCTGAGCTATCAAAAGTAGAATTTATTGTCTCTATGATGTGTGGTATCCCTGATTGGAAGAGCAGCTTGGTACATATATTCCAGAAACCAGAATTACTTAGAATGTTAAAAGAAATATTTTTCTTTAAAATAAATGCACACTGTTGGGGGGAAACTCATGCGTGAAGACATAAAGAAAAACTGAAATCTTTCCTTATCTGATCACCAAAGATAACCAGCTAATGTTTTGTTATCATTCTATACATTTCTATAATTTTGAAGCATGGTTCCAAATGCACATGTAAACATTTTAATCCTAACTTTTCAGTGTAACAATTAAGCATAAGCACTTTCATGCTGTTAGAAATGTGTATAAAATGATTGAGATGACATTATAATATCCTTTTTATTTCTGTACTTGAATTGACTAAACCATAATAATGTTGACAAGCTAATACTTCATGTCACTTCTTCCACGCCAGATACTGTTCTAAGTGTTTTACATACATTAACTCATTTAATTCTCAAAAAAAAAAAAAAAAAACAAAAACAAAAAACACCACATTGTATGGCTTGTACTCTTAATATTCCCCACTTTTGTAGTTGCCAGAGATTATCCTGCCACTGAGTGTTGGGTCCAAGCTTTGGAGCAAAGGCAGTTAATGCTGTGGGGGATGCTTACTGCCCCTTCGGACAAGTCATACCCTCTCTGCTGCTCGTCAGCCATTCTACTACTGCAGACCCTCAGATCCTGGCTCACTTTTTTCTTTCTTAAATAAAATAGCTATGAAGGGGATACTTGGGACATGATTCAGAATGCTCCTTGGGGTTTGGGGGCAAGGCTGACGGAGCTGCTGAATATACCACAGGAATCTGGAAGCAAACCCAACCCAGAAGTCACACCGTGGTGGCAGATTTAGAACGCCCTGTTCTGATTCTTTCATTTTTCTCTCTACTGTTTCATGAGAAGACACCCACGCAAAGATATTCAAATGAAGAAAGACAGTGTAATCTTTTGAAAGATGAATGTTAAGAAAGTCTTTGTGGACAGAAACAATGGCTTATTAATTAGAGCAGATTATTTTCTTTCTGTTTCCATATTTATGACCTGGCTTAGTCAGTACTGGGCATTTTTTTTAAAGCATTTTAAGTATTGGAAGGGAATTTGGCATCCTCCTTTTTTTGCATGGACTCATGGGAGTAAGAGGACTTCTCTGACCTTGGAGACTGGATGAAGGTCAGGGGCAGGCGTGGCTCAACTGCTTCCAGGCCTTGTCAGCACCAAGGCCAAGCCTTTCCTCTCCTCCTGCTCCTCCACAAGCAGGTGTGGACTTCCAGGTGTGTGTTGGGCTGTCTAAGCCCTGTGAGGTGTGAGGCTGGCAGGGAAGGTGGCTGGCTCTCAAGACCACTTCTCCCTCGTCTGAATTCCAAGGACTACGTGGGACACAAAGTCGTGGCCTGATTTTGATCACAGATCAAAGGCTCTCTAATCCAGTTTTATCAACAAGTAAATTTATATTTGTGTTTCCCTTTGCTTATGCCTCTACTGCCTGTTTCTCAATTGGTGTAGAATCCACAGGCAGAGGCATATGATTAGAAGTCCTTTAAAACTCAACATTGCTTTGTGTACACTAGAGACAGAGTTTAAATTTGAGGTCACAGGTTTTTCCCTTGTTCCCTGAACCCCCAGATGATTAAGGGAATGTGGTCTTGGCATGCTTAGCTTCTCTGCAACTCTTCAATCTCCAGGAGGAATTCCACCTTGGGAGAGATTATTGCTGAATCTTTCTGGGACTCAATTCTAGGACTCTGTGATGCAGACTTGCGGTAATGAGTGGTGAGACAGGGAAAGGAGAAGCAAAGACGGCAGAGTTGCATATAGAACTGACATTCACTCATGGGAGCAATGAAAGAATAGAGCTGGGGGCAGGTGTTTGGTGCAGTAGTTAAGATGCCCACCTCACTTCCTATATCGGAGTTCCTGTGTTCAAGTCCTGGCTCCACTCCAAATTCCAACTTCCTCCTAACGCACTTTCTGGAAGGCAGATGATGACTCAGGTCATTGGTTCCTTGGCACCCATGGGGAGATCCAGATTGAGTTCCTGGCTACTTGCTTTGGATGGGCCCAGCCCTGGCTGTTATGGGCATTTGGAGAGTGAACTGGTAGATAGGAGCATTCTCTGTTTGTCCCTGTCTCTCTGCCTTTCAAATAAAAATGATAATAAAAAAGAATTGAGATGGAAGAATGGTGGAAGAAGGAGGACACCTGAGAGGATACGTCGACAACCAGAAGCCTCCATGGGGAATGGATTCAGATCAACGAGGGTGCATGAGGTATGGAGAGAAGCAGAGAAACGGGAAGGGTACCTGTAACAAGTGTTTTTTTTTTTCTTTTTGCTGGGGATTAAGAATTGAGTTCCTTTATCAGTTTTAATGAGATTCTAGTAAATATTAAGATTCTTCAAACAGTGGGAGAGATGGGGCTTCTTTGAGTGTGCCTCTGTTTGTGGAGTTGGCCATGACTTGGCTTCAGTTGTAACTGGGGTTCATCATGTCCCTTCACATGCTAGAAAGATATGATCAGTGGAAATAGAAGAAATGCCCCTAAGTATCCTGGACCCTGGCCCAGGTAGGTATGGATTTATGTCTGTGTAGGAAGACAAAGGCTAGGGACAGTCCCGCAGGGGACCCATGCTGAGCACCTAGGGACACCTCCCTACTGTCCACTGGTATCTGTTTGAGGTATCATATGAATGCTGGGAAACAGGCTTTTTTCGAGAAAGATGATTGAGGGGTGTAAGCTCGGTGAAGAACAGTGCTCCAATGAGGAAGAAAGAACCCAAAGCCTACAATCAACCCAAACTCTGGGGAGAAGGAGCTGCAGTAGAAGCAAGTCACAGCCCACCAATCTGCCTCGTGGGGTGTGCTGTGCCCAACCTGGGCAACTTCGGGGACTCTTGGGTACTGCAGCTGCTTCCAATGGAACAGGGATGGGGCAGCAAGGCTGTGTCACAGGTGTCGACACCTGGGTCACAGGCATCTGTGGCCTCAGCAGTTATCACGGAGGAGATGAGAGGGTCAGTGCACACCCCCTGGAATGTGAGAGATATTGTGACCACGTGGAGACAGTGGCTCAGAGCCACTGCTCTAGGGTAGCCATAGAGCAGGCTAATGGAGTCTGGGCAATAGAGCCCCCTTTATTGTTTTATTCTTCCTGTGCACTTCGGGCAGAGAAACCTAACATTATCGCACTGGGTGGAAGGAAGGGGAAACTTTCAAACGGGTGTCAGCTGTGTAGCAGAAAGTTTTGAGGAAGTCTGGCAGGAACCCCAGTCAGCAGCTACATCTGCGCTCCTGACATCAGGTCTGTAATACTTGGATTCTAGGCACAGGCAGATGGACTGTTTACCACATGTCTGCTTTTCCTGGCTTCTGTTTCCCAACAGCCTTGCTAACTTGGATCAAGTTATTAGCAGATCTGACTCCCGTGGCCTGGGCACTTCACATGGATCTGCATCCTTCCACTTGACGCTTTCTGGGTATTGTAAGGACAAGGAAGAGTAGGGGGGCAAGGGCCGTCCTCTCTGGCCACATGCACTACCCCTCTTCCGAGAATGCCACGAAGCTGTTGGCATCGATTCTTCACAAGGCTCTTGTTGTCATGTAGGCAGTGCAGTCTGTAGCAGTTTGGGGAACCTGAAAATAACGCAAAGATCTACATCCTAACTTTCAGGAATTGGATGCCAAAGTGAGATTAGCCAGGAGAGGGTAGTCACTGATAGGTCCCCAAACCACGAGGCGAAAAATTCCAAAACAGGTGGTGCACACTGGCTGTCAAGGGGATCGCACTGGAGGAAACTGTATTCTGTTTCAAAGAGTTAGTGACATGGTTTAGAGGAGGCACCAAGGTACCCGTGTGTGAGTTTAATCGATGAGAACTTCCAGCACCGACAGCCCTGCCAGCTGGCTGTAAGGCTCTCTGGTGATCTCACGATGGTGTCAGATCCTGGATTACTCAGGCCAGATCTGGCTTTGAAAGGCCAAGTGCCCTCAAATAGGTCTCCATTTGGGTCCCACACTCCTATGGCCCCAGGCAGGTGCACAGTTGTCCTAAGCTATTACTGCCATAGGAAGGAACAACAGAGTTGCCTAGAGATGCAACCAAGCAGGTGAGTGGGTTCTTCGCGTTACCTCTGGCATTGACTGCCCACTGGCAGCAGAGTTTGGAAGGGAGGGTTCAGCTCTCTCTGGTGATTGCTTAAGCAGCTGCCAGCAGTCTGCTCCTGGATATCTGGTGTGGTCTTGGGATTCCATGTCTCCCCGGAGGCTCCGATCTGAAGCAAGGCATTACGTTTTATTTCTGACTCGGCTCCCGGTATAGTTACAAGATGCATATGCTTTGAACCAGGGAAGTCGGAACGAGGGTTAGGCGGGATTGTCGGACTTGCTAACCTTGGACTACCTGAAATGTCTAGTGAAGAGTTCCAGAGACTAAGATAGAGGAGGGTTGACACTTTGCTTAGCTTTGGGGGAAATGTAGTCTTCCAAGTTTCTTTAAAAAAAAACAAAGTCTCAGAATCTCACAAGCAGACTTTATATCAACATTTGGAACTGTGAGAATGAATCAGACAAACACGGAGCAAATGTTCCTGGAAAAGCAGAGGAGCTGAAAATGGAACTGCGAAGTGCCCTGGCAGTTTGGGATTTTGGAATATTATTAGCACCTCCCACCTCAGACACCAGCAGATAATTGACTGTCTGAATTCGATGCTATTTGTTTGCCTCGGAGACAAGTGATTTTGAAGCTTATTATGAGACACATTTCCCTTGAAGAGTTTTCTTTCCTTTTCTTGTTAATTTGTGAAGGGTAAAATAGAGTTAGTGCAAGTAGAGAGTGATTTGGTTTAGAATCTTTTCAAACACCCATCCCCGGATCAGAGCTCCCCTTTGAGGGGCCTTTGCTGCAGTGGACACAAGGCTTCACTTTCTGGCCTTTAGTATCAGGGCCCGGGGAGGCAGAAGTGCAAGAATCAGGAAACTCAAGAGAGTCTGTGCTGTCTTCTTACATCAGACGCCCGTCCCGTCTTAGGTTCTGGGATGGGCGGGTCATTGGTCGTTGACTCCGCTCCTCCAGTTGAGGCTGACTTGGATTCTGGGAACCCGAGCAAGCAGTATTTACCTTCACATCTGCACTTAATGGTGTTTTGAGTCAGTGAGCCTGATGGGCTTATTATCTTTTATTTTAAGAAGCTGAGCATCAGGTTAACCTAATGGGTGGAAGTGATCAAGCTGCCGTGTTAGCCCGCTGGATGGCAGAGGCAACCTTATAGTAAGTTCCCCAAAGCAAGAGGGACACCCCGAGATCTGCGAGGGAAGCAGCTTAGAATGAAATCTAAGAATAGGGCACCCCGGTTTCAGGGGCAAAACACACAATCGTCCCCTCCCCTGCCCAGCAATGCGCTACCTTCTTCCAGGGTGGCAATGGGACACTGTTGACTCAATTAGGCCACCTAGTGGTCTGATGAAGCTGTCACCGCTGGCATTCCCCAGCTGCGGCTGGAAGGGGGAGAGAGGCAGGTAGTAGTTTCTCTGACTTGTCCAGTTTGATTTTTTTTCTCTTCTTCCCACTCTGTTTTCTCCCTTTTCCGTGTTCTCATTAGGAAACCGAGACCATCGTGTCCCCCACCCCTTCTCACCTCCTGTGCTCTCTCTGCCTGCCTTTGTGGACCTGTATAGATTCCTCTTTTCCATTTGGAAATCACACATTATTGCTATCTACACATTGTCACCAAAACCAATTTGTGTAAGCTAACAGGCCTATCAGTGCCACAGAAATGAGATTAAAACTGCTTCCAGTGAAACAGATAAAAACCAGATGAATGAAGCCCGCTAATAAGACATTAAAGATAATGACAAGAATGATTAACTAGCAAGATAAAGCGAGCAGTTATGAGGAGTCTGGTAGCCAGGATCAGTAAACTAATAAAAAGAATCTACCTTTAATTCCCTGATAGTCAGTGAGATATAATCACATCAACATCATGATTTTTTTGGTTATTATTTATCTGTGAGAACAATATCACACCTTTCCTCCAAATTGCTCAAAGCTTATTAGCAAGAGGAGAGCGTGAGCGAGAGAGCGTGAGATAGCTCTGGGGGAGAGCTCGTCTCGTTTCCGATCTTTAAGAATAAAAACGAATGCTTAAAACCCTGCTTGTGTCTCCATGCCTATTATGCAGGCACTCTGGCGTGTATGTTTCGTGTCTGAGGCTGGCCTGCTCATCGTCAGACCGTTTTACATTATGCAATCAGTTAGCCAATTACTGCATTATCAAGTCACATCAAGACGCTCCGAAAATTGCATTTCTCCTGGGTAACATCTCAGGGGTTGGCCATGGTCACTGCCATCTTAGATTGTTTGAGTTGCAGGAGGGCGTCTGCCTTCAGCTCGGTTTATCTTCCTGCGGTGTTAGATCCAAGTTCATGGGGGAAGCAGTCATTTACCATTCATTTAGAACTTTTTCAAACCTGGCTGTGGCAGGCCCAGCCCTAGGCTTTAGGGACGCAGGTGAATAAGAATCAGGGGTGGGCAAGGGAAGGGGGAAGGAGGAAGACAAGTAAACAAAGGTGGTGACAGGTAGCCATACCCACGTGACAGGGGACTGTAAAATTAATACATGGCAGCAGGGCGACCTGAATTGAGGGAGTGACTCCCTGGAGAAACCAAAGAAGGCTTCCCATAGGAGGGCCCCTTTTGAAGTAGGCTTGAAAGGCTGGAGAGGAAAAGGCTGGGGCGGAGGAGTGTGTGCACACACAGCAGTGTGAAAGCCTGCGGTGTGGTGGGCAGAGCTGCTTGGTGGGGAACGGCAGCCTGGCAGACCCTGCAAAGGGGTCTGGGGACAGTCGGGAGGGACCCTGGATTTCACGCTGAGGTTTCCACTTTTCATCCTAAAAGCTGAGGCGATCCGTTAGTACTCGTAACAGGAACTACAGGATCCAACCAGAGTTTTGAAAATAGAGCTGGTGACGCTGTGGAGAATGGATTAAAGGCAGAGCAGAAATGAGCCCTGGAAACCCGGCCTGAGCTATGATGCAGTGAGAAAAACAGACAGGACCGAGACAGGTACGCATTTGTACCTGAACTCAACTTCTACCTAGCCGTGGGATATGGGGTAAAATCGATTATCTTTGAGACTG